CATAAAAAAAAAACGGTTGGGGGTTAGGGTTACATGATCATAGTCTTGAACGTTACTTAACATACTTTACCTTTAAACAGCAGCTGTTTCAAAATGTATAGTTTATAGTTGTGGTTTTCACATTGAACAGCAGATTGTAAACTACAATTACTTTGCATAACCACTAGAAGAACCAGTTTAACGAGGACAAAGGTTTTTGCTAACACCCCTACTGGCTGTTTGATGGGATCTAATTAACAACCCAGCCTGTTGAATACTGCATTGTTTCCAGTTTTTTTTTTTTTTTTCACTACTTAACTGATGTAATAAATGTAAAATAATTAAATCCTTCTCAAATTAAAACCTTTTAAAAATATATAAAGTTCAAAGTAGAAACAGATGTAGTTAATTACAGTAATGTGAGTTAATATAACCAGTTTCTTTCCACCCCTGACGGTCCGTCTCCTTTTTCCACAGGGTCCGACATTGTAACCAGTGGATTCAGCGTGCAGACCTGTCGCAACATGGTCAACATGTTGGACGTATCCTTATAGGTCTTATAGATGGAGGAGTCAGTAACAGGGCTCTTATTCTGAAATCAACCTGCTACTAATGGGGGCTTTTAATATTAACAATATTTAATTAAGGCTCTTATTAACATTGTTTTTAATATAATGGGGCTCTTCTAAAATCACACACCGTTATTAAGTTGTCCCTTATTCTGAAAACACTGTCATATATCTGACTCTTATTTGGAAAGTACTCTATCAAAGTTTATTACAGAACCTTTATTGTGAGATGAATGAATTTCCTCCATGTTAAACAGGAAACAGATGCGTGTGTGTTTGTGATGCACTTGTATAAGAGGGAGGACCATTTTTCCAATTTCACCATCACAATGAGGACCAGCTGTTGTAAAGTGAAGACATTTTACTGGTCCTCTCAAGGTATTTTGCTAATGGTTAGGTGCAGGGTTAGGTCGCTGGGTTCAATACTTTTCTAAGCAGATCCTAAACCTGGACCACAGAAAGATGGCAGTGGGAAACTAGGTCTGGTGGAGTTTAAAATCCTGTGGACCAAAATCGAGAACTACCTGGTGAGTTTGTCGCAGTTTCTCGGACACATCTGAGCTGGGTCCTTTCAGACTAAACTGTCACCCGTTTGGTTGTTGTAGAAAATTTACAGGGAGCGGGACGTGGATAACTCCGGGTCCATGAGCTCTGTGGAGATGCGGACGGCGGTGGAAGAAGCTGGTAAATCTTCTTTGTTTCTGACATGTTTGCTTTTATGTCGTACAGTTTATCCCAGTTTATTTATTTTTTAACAAGCTGTTGAGTTTGATTCTGATCAGAAAATGAGAACACTTTTTCAAATAATGTTAGGGTAAAGTCTCTGGAAAGCTGCTCATTGTGGCCAAGCAGATCCAGATGATGTTCTAGATGCCTGCTGTGCCGGTCCAGGTTCTGATCCTGCTGGTCTCTGTTACAGGGTTCAGCCTGAACAGTCCTCTCCATCAGGTCTTGGTGGCCCGTTACGGCGAGCAGGATCTCACCATTGACTTCGACAACTTTGTGGGCTGTCTGGTTCGTCTAGAAACCATGTTTGGTGAGTTCTGGACTAGCTGAGAATGTTTTTTTTTTTTTTTTTTATAGTGAGTCTTTCCCCTCATTTTGTCCTCCTCTGTGCACAGACATGTTCAACACACTGGAAAAAGACGAATCTGGACGCGCGGAGCTGAACTTAATGGAGGTAAGCTTCAGCTTTGAATATATAAATATAAAATCCGGAGGTTTTCTGAGTGGGACAAAACCGATCCGGTTGTAAAATAGCTTTTAGGGCTTTACTCAATTTCGGCCTTTTCGTGGTTCTGCTCTGGATACAGAAAACTGGGTGTCCAACAGCTGCTATTAGCTTGTGGGTTAAGCCGATCAGCAGAAACTCTTACCTTAATTAGACTGGTGTTGGCGCTGCTTTAGGATTCAAAGCATGACTTTTGTAAAAACTGGGCAGAGAAAGCTGCTTTGCATTTCCCTACATAAAGAATAAATTCATTCTTTATATAGGGAAACGTACAGCGGCTTTCTTTACTCGGATAAGAAGCAGCTTGCAGCAACGGATGGAGGAGAGGCAGCTTTGTGTTACCTTATGGAGTCAGTTTCATTTAAAAGATTAATAAATAATCCATACCAATGGTGGAATGACTTCCAAGCGGTTATTTAATTTTTCTGTTTAAAGGGGTGAGGAGGGGTAAAGCTGGTTGGGGCCGTGGCCTCTCAGAGTGATGCCTGTGCCCACCCTGGACTGGAAAGTGTTTATTTGATCAGGATTTAGTTTTTCTCACTGTAGAGTGACCAACTTTTCATCATTCCTATCTTTGATCTGTCAATCACACCATTCAACCAATCTAAACAAAAAACGAAGCCAGCGTGGAAACCAACTACACATAGAGGGCGCGGGTCTTTGAGGCAGCAGTGGTCACCATAGCTGGTGTGACACGAAATTGCAGACTGTTATCACAAAAGCTAATGGAAATAAGAAGTGAGGAGGAAGTAGCACAGTTAATTTCTGTTGGAAGCTAAGAAGTCAACAGAGTAAGCATTCATGCTTGAAGAGTTAGCTGCATTACTGAGGCACTAATAGAATAATTCAGCCAAATGGAAGAAACGTGATAATATCACAGTTACAGCAACTTACAATAACAAAAAAAGTTCATGGTTTGTATTTATACTTCTGTCTCTGACGGAACTTTGGGAAATAAACTTTTCTATTTGTTTCTGATAGAGCTGGGTGGAGTATTCAAAAAATGCACTTAAGTCAGAGTAGCACTATTTCATCATATGTTTACTCGGGTAAGAGTAAAAAATGGCCTCTAAAGAAATTACTCAGGCGAACAGGTATTTAGTAAAAACGCTGCTGAAGTATTGAGTAACTGGTCTATTTGCTATACAGACCATAACAACTGATTTAATACTTTACATTATGTAAAGATGTACAATTTAACAAAATATTAAATTATACAATTTTTTTTTCAAAGAATAAAATAAAAATAAACATAGTGTACAGTAATTACAAAAAGAAAGAAATTAAGTGAGATGAATACTCTTCAAAGTATTTTTTTTTCTTAATTTATAAAATTTACAAAATTGTGCATATTTCTTTCATACAAGCCTGTTTTAATCAAGGGAAGTTACTTCCAATGGATCGAGCAGCCAAAAGTTTTACTCGCGCAGAAAATTATATTTTATCATATTTTTACTGGAGTAAAAGGTACAATGCTGTAAAACTTCTCATAAAAGTACTTTTTTTTTGTTTTTCTCAAAAAGTTACCCAAGTAAATGTAACTAGTTACTACCCACTTGCTTCTAATGCAATAATCCTTAATAGATTTCCTGATGGAAGAGAGACAAACAGTGCATTGCCCAGGTGATGCTGCAGTCATTGTGGTCATTTTTATCAATGTATGTGTTTAGGCTGATTTTTTTAACTTTTGAGTGACTAGAATGAATGCAGCAAGTTGTTTTTAAGTGTTTTTTTTCTTCTTTTTTTGAATGTTATTGATAGTAGGAGAGGCCGGGAAAGCCATTTTTAAGCCATTTTAAATATTAGGTGAGGAAGTGTGCCCTCCTGAAAACATGGAATGTCCCCACTTTAATTAGTTCCTGTAGCCGGGTCTGGGTAAAGCCCTCCATCGCAACAGAACTACCTGCATTCTAAAGATGCGTTCAGGGCCAATGGGAACGTGGTGAATTTTCTGCATAGTTTCCCTGCTTGACATTTATTTATTTTATTTATTTGAATGCACATTAATGAACATCAGTATAAAAACAAATGTAAATATGCCGGATTTTAGCTACAAAGCTAGTTTTCATCTGTAGTCCCTAGGCAGGCAAATACATAAGAAAGAACATATAATATGCAATACAAGCATTTTAGCTCCCTGTTGCAAAGGATCTGCAGGTATTAGCGTTGGGTCGGTCATGAACTGATTTTGTTAAATGAGCCCAAAAGTTGTTTGAACAAACAGAATCAGTTCACTATTATTAATTGATCCGGTACTTTAGTTTAGTTAACATCGACCTGAGCCGGTAGGGAGGAAACTTCTGCACACAAGTGTCTGTTACTCAAAACTAACAGCTAAAGTTTTTCATTCTAGTGATTCAGTTCACTCAAATAACTTTTTCTCCCAATTCTGGCTAGTATGGCAAGCTGTTTTAACATTTAGCCATAAGTTGAATATCTATGTAACAGTAAAAACTGAAGTTACAGATAAAAGTAATTCCCTGTTAACTAGGAAAGATGCTTTCGCTGAAATCGGTAATGAATATCCAGTTTGATTATTATATCTAAAAAAGCTTACCATACATGAAGATGCCACAGTAAACTGGTGCTGAATAGCTTGTTGGTTCCTCTTGTGTGTTCAGCTCAGCTGACCTGGAGTTTATCGAGCAAAACACTGAGCTTTATTTCAAGTGGAAAGCTGAACAAAGCTGTTGGTTTCCCTGATGCACCAGTACCGCTCCCAGTTCCTCCAGCTGCTCCAACCTTGTCGATTTCTAAAATAAAAATCTTTGCATCCATTGCGTTCCTTCAGCCTACATTACAACCACATCAAGTCATCTGATTGGTTTGAATTACCAAAATGCTCTGCGGAATTTTTTGCAAACTTTCCCTTAACCCACTCAGTGCGTCCACTGCACCTATACTCTTCATGCAGCTTTGCTCTAAACACCAGATGAGCTTGAAAGGCATCCTTCAGATCGCCAACTGTTCCATGACTCCTGAACTCGCCTTTACATCAGATGAACACACCTTTAAAAATGCTTAATTGTTTCTGCAGATGGGTTTATTGATTGATAACTGATGTTTGTTTCCTACAGTGGCTCAACATGTCCATGCTCTGAAGAACAGCCGGGTTCTGGTTCTGATCCAGGATGGATGACGCAGACCCAGATGGATGTTTTCTTCAGTTTTTTTTGTAAACGCTCATGTAACCAATAGTGAATAAATAATCAATAAAATGATCAGTAATTCCAAGTTCAGCTTTTATTTCTTCTATAACAAAGAAATTTTCTCAACAGTTCATAAGTTTGTGATCAGCTTCTTGTCCAAGCTGTGGGCGGAGCCTCTGTGACATCACTGTTTTGTCTTCTGGCGGGCGAAGTCTTCAGCCCACCGCAGTGCCTCTTTGATGTCACCAAAGCTTCCTGTTCCCTTGGCGACAAGAGCTGAGCCTCCGGCACTTCCTCCAAGTTGGCGGCAAACTGCCACCGCCCAATCAGAGGCAGGTAGGGTGGAAGACTCCTGCAGAGGAAACGGACAGCCAATCAGAATCCTCCCTTTCCAAGAAGAACTCCACCCCCCAGTGATACCAGCAGTGTTACCTTAGGAACTTGACAGGCACAGAGAATTTTCCCAGAATCCTTCTGGTGAGAAAGCAGCATCACATGACTGAGAGGAGTGGCGGCACTCAGCTGGTTGACGGTCTTCATTAGAACCTGGAACAGAACCAGAACTAGTCAGTCGGTGTGGACAGAAAAATCTGGAGACGGCAAATCCAGATTGTATGGAGGGAAATTTGTTCAACTAGACCTTATAAATGGAAACTGAAATGGAAAAAAAAAAGGAATCCAAATATTTTACTTTGAAACATTTTTTTAATTAAAGGTTTTGAGTAATTAAGCTGTTTTCTCAAATAGTTTTCATTTTTGCAAAATGTATTTTCATCTTATTTTTTTCATTTTTTGTAAATATAGTTTTACATATTTTAAGGACATTGTTAGGTGTGCCTCATGCCAAGAAGCAATTCATTAAAAGTTGGTAATGATACAGATCATGAGCAAGTTTTATCTATAGGCGTAAGTCACAATATGGGGCAACATTTGCTGCTTGGCAGAGCTCTGCACTCTCAGAGGGCTTTTCTAATTCTATATTTTTCCTGTAAAAGTTCCTTTTTTACATGTTATTGTCTTCACCTTAAGCTCTTACAAAAAGCTCGTTCTTGACGAGCAAATTGACAAAAATGGTTTGCTAACGACCAGCAGACAATAGAAAAGTGTCTTTGCTCCTCACTCCAGAGGAAAGCTCCCACCCGGAAGTGATAAGTGTGATTTGAAAAGAATACAATGCATAAAACTGAATCTCGAAACACAAAGAAATGTATTCTCTAAAAATTAATTTTGAAAAATAGAAAACAGTAAAGCTACTGTGAAAAAATGTTTCCATTTTAATTTACTTTTAATTTCTAAATAGCTTTTTTTTGTTGCAAATTTCCATTTACAAAATGTGTTCTTTGCAAAAACAAGTGAATAAAATTCCCTCCATACCAAGTCGCCCCTTATGGGTCACAGATCTGACCTGGCTGGCTAAGAGATCTGACCCCTATAGGCCCGTCTGGACTATAACATTTGATAATCAGGACCTTCTCAAATGCCGACTGGTAATAGTTTCTAGTGGTAGCAGGATGCAGGAGCTTGTCCTCCAACCAAGAGGTTGCTGGTTTAAACCCCAGCTCCAGCTTTTATGTCAGTGGGCTAGACACTTTGCTAATGGTGATCGGAAGGCCCCAGAAAGCCTTGCTTCTGAGAGGAGCCCCAGGGCGACTGCCGCCATCAGTGTGTACACAAATGACTGAATGTGGTGTGGTCCAGTCTCCCGATGTAAATAAATGTCCTAAGTACAGCCCATCTACCATTTTCATTAATAATAGCCTGTAATTAATCAGTTTAATTTATCAGTTTAGGCCCGGTTCTACCCACCGACAGCGAGTCCGTCTCCACACAGTCTACCAGCAGCTCCTTCTTGCCATTCTTCTGAAACAGGACCGCTGCGTTCTTTGCAGCCTGAGCGAAGCATGATGGAACAGAGTGAGAGAGCAGCCCGTGTCTTCAGGTATGGCTGATGACACCAGCTGGTGCGTTCTCACCTGTTGGGTCTCCAGTTTCCTGATGAGCGTGTTGATGGCTCTGAGCATGGCTCGCAGTCGGGCCTGCATCTCTCTGCGCTGCCACTGTGGAATGGGGGTGTTGTCTACAGACTGCCAGACACAGCACAGGATTTAGCAAACATAACATCTTTAGCAGCAATGCATTATTGGCCGAGACCTACATCAGACAGGGTGCTAGCCTCCTTGGAGAAGTGATGGGCGGAGCCTAGGCTGGAGGGGGCGGAGTCGGAGAGTCTTGCTGATAGGGAGTCCACTTCCTGAGATAAAACTCGTCCCATGTCCCTCGCCTGGAGAAACATCAGAATTTCATTTCTATGTCGTACAGATTCGGCTAGAATCCACGTACAGCAGCGGTTCAGTCCAAACAGATCAGCTGCTATACAGACCACTGGATATACAGGCCTACAAACTGCAAGCAGACTTCATATCAATACATACCTCTGCTTCATATCAGTTGGACTGAGGTGTTTGCTGCTACATTTAATCTGGTTGGGAGGATATTAACAAAAAACCTCTGATTGGTTTTATATGAGGGTTCCTGGAGTGCCCTAGCCTCGTGAGACCATCCTGATCTCGCAAGCTTTCAAGATTTCACTCGCTAATCAGTCTGGAGACTCTCCGATGAAGAAAATTTGGAGCCGTTCACCAAACGAACGTCCAATCAGCGTTGGCTTTGAGGCGGGTTGAAGTGTGACACAACGAGAAGCGCGACAGTTCAGTCTAAATGGCGGCTTCAGCCGATGAGACTAGCGTTAGCGTGGCCGTCGAGCAAGTTTTATCGGAATTACAGAGTATTTCTTCACTGAAAGAAGAGCAAAACACTGCTCTGGAGGCTTTTCTCAGAGAAAAAATATGTTTTTGCTCTTCTCCCGATCGGTTTCGCCAAGATTAGCCTGGCTGTTAGTACGTCATATGCTTTGTTGATCTGATTGGTTTATTTGGCCCGTCTATCACCAACATAGGCCAATCAGCTAACCAGTATTTTCGCCCCTTCCCAAAATTACTTCTACGGAAGGTTTCCAGATGGAAATGCAGAGCAAATCCATCTGGAAAGGAGGCCACCAATGTCCAATGCAGGCTGAGGAACAATATGGTGATCAAAAGCTTGTACCTATTGGCTAATACCTGACTGTCTGTGTTTACAGGCGCAGCTTGGAGGTATAAGTTTGATGAACCATGAAGCATCCTATAGGTAACCACTAGCCTCACTGCTAGGCCATCCTGCTACAGATCCAAGCTTCGCTTTCCAAAACAGAGATAATCACTTTTAAATTAAACTCCTCATATGGTTTTTTATTATGTATGTGAACTTGAACTGGGACAGAAGAAGGTGCAGGGATACTGATGGAGGTTTAGGAGGACTTTGCTTAGGAAAATAATGTTTAAATTCTTGTTAACCCGACAGAGGAAAATACGAGGAAACTAAATGTTGGAGATTAGGATTTCCAGATGAAATTTTCTTTATTTTCTTTATTGCAAATGATGCTGATCATTGTGGAGAAAGTCCTGGCACTAAATATTATTTGACTATATTTAATCCTATATTTGGAGGAAGTAAATGCAAACCTAAAGTCTTTTAGAGACAGACGTGTAGAAAAATGATGTCAATGCTGTAGGTCTGGAGAATATACCAGTCAGAGACCTTTTATTGCTAACTAATGCCAACATAACCATTTTACAGGACTAGGAAATGACTGGTGAAAAACCCAAAGGAATCAAAACAGAAAAGGTGAAGAGAGATAAGATCTTTAAGTAGATTGTTTACATATAGAGTGTGCACAATAGAGAGTAAACGATGGAGTAGAGTAAGTGGTTGGATGACAGACTGAAGAGGCTCAGATGCTGACAATGTTCATCAGATAAACTAGATGCTTGTTTTTTTCCTGCAGCAGACATAATGACTTCTGGAGTGGAAACTGAGATCTTATCTTCTTTAGAGACCAAACGGCTGAAGAATTTTCTGCCGTTTGGTATTTTTCATCTATTTATGGATTATTTTATTCTGGTACAAAGGGCCTTTTTTGATTTATAGGAACAAAGTGAAACAAAGTTATAAGTTTCTCCTAAATAGGACATGAACCAACCAGCCCATCAGTCAGGATGTTCGGGGGCCATATTTTATGGAGGATTAAAAGTGCCAAAATTAAATAAATAAATACAGCATTAAATAAATAATTAAATGTGTCAATAGTTAATTGAATGTGTAATTAAATAAATAAATGTGTCATTTATTAATTAAAACCACGTCACTAATATAAAGTGCCACAATTAAATAAATAAATGCAGCGATAAACAATTAATTAAATGTGTAATTCATTAAATAAATAAGGAATTAAATATATAAATGTGTCATTAGTTTAATAAAATACATCTTCATTTTATAAAAAAAAATATATATAATTATTTCAGTGTGCATTTAATTATTTCATGGTCCTGTGTCGCAGTGCATCGAAACCATTAAAAGAATCTGTCAAACTCACCCATCAAAGTTAGGGGGCGGTTATCTAACACCTGATTGGTCACCCTGTACATTAAGGCGAAGCAAATCTATACAGAGACTCGATTCGCGTTAACTTCAACGGAGAGTCTCCAGACTGATCTGCGAGTGAAATCTTGAAAGCTCGCGAGATCAGGATGTTCTCACGAGGCTAAGTGCGGACAGGGCGTATGGTCAACTCTGGAAGCAATGTGAGGAAGATGAATGATAAATGATTTAACAATGAAAAAACTTGGACAAACTTTATTGTCATTTTGTATACACAGAGTGTATACAAAACGAAATTTTGTTTACATTAAGGGCTAAATTACAGAGGTAATACATAACATTCCTTACTTCTTCAAGATTTTGTCTTTGATTGTAAAAAGCTTTGTTTCCACACCACTCTTTTTCTAATTTATTCATTATTTTATTGCGGTTTTTAATGTAGATCGATTGTGTATTTAATATATCATAAAACATTTTCTATTTTAAAAATTCAAACAACAGAAACTAACTCATAAATAAATAAACAAAAACTACAGCTGGTAGAGGACATCGCGTCCAAATATGGTATGGGTCGGCCAAGTGGTCAGTCTCCGCCTCTTTCTATTGGCTGCACAGACGTCCACCTCTTCCATATAACAAAATAACCTCCATGTGGTATATGTTCTTGTAACTGGCTGAAAACAATGAAATTATCTAACTTGTTGCAGATCCACACATAAATGATTATTTCAACAGAATATCTAGCCCTTTCTAACAGTAAAGTGTGTCTGATGTGTTTAAAAGCAGCAGTGAGATCTAACATAACCAGAACAGAGACGCGCCTCCACTTACTGATTCCCACTAATGATGTATGAAGTCAGAGGGTGATCTCACCTGGACAGCATCCTGACCCGTCACAGCCACGATGCGGCTGATTCCTTTCACCAGCTGCTTCTCTGAGACGATCACAAGATCCTGGATGGTGCTGGTCTGCAGCAGGTGTCTAAACAGAGAGAGACCTGGGATCAGAGATTACAACTCTAGATTAAGACTCAATAAATAAACCCCGAAATTAAAGACTTTAGACTCAGATTTAAACCAACTATAATGGAGAGAACAATGTGATGGTAAACTGCTGTCAGTAACTGCAAAGACAGGAAATCTGGAATTTGATATTTACCGCTTTTAATCTCATCTTTTAGATATATTTTATCCAAATAATAGAAGTAGAAGTAAAGTAAAGGTTTTCTAGTTTTTGAGGGATTAAAAAACTAGAAAAAAAATACAGCTGGTAATAAATATCAGAAAAGTTGAGAGATGATTAAATGTTCCTGTTATAATTCATGGCTGAGGACAAACAGTCCAGGTCTGGATTTTAAACCACAGCAATGAAGACATAGAGGAGACCTGACCAGGAATGAAATACTTTACAACATCCCAGTTAAACTCCCAACGACAGATTTGTGAGAAACCCAGACTGAACCTTTAAAAGTATCTGATGCTTAGCAAGTAGCTTCAGTCCAGCTAGAAAGCAGCAAACAGGCTCTAAATCTGGGTGTAGAGATGGTGTCAGACCTGAACCTTCAGAGGCTCATAAAGACAGGAACAAAGTCGGCTTTCTATTACGTAAAGAGCATCTCCAGGATTAAAGGACTAATGTTGAAAAACTACTTCATTCATCTTTAGTAGAATTAATCCCTGCAGTGGTGTCTTCAAAAGTCTGCAAAATAAGTGGATCAGAAAGCTGCAGCTGATCCAGAATTCTGCTGCCTGCATCCTCACTAGAACTAGGAAAGTAGAGAACATGAGCCCAGTTCTAAAGTCCTTCCTATTTTGGAAAAATAATACAAAAAAATGAAAATCTACAAAAAAGACAAAATGTAAAATATTTGTTGAACTTTTGCACTGACATTAATAAAACATAAATTACTCTTGGAACATTTTTTGTTATTGAGACATTTTTAAGCATTTTATTTTTTAACATATTTTGATCTACTTGTTTTACTATCAAAAATACTGGAACAACTTTCTTTTCATCCAACCAGGAAGAACACAGCAATGTGTCATAATGTGGGATTTCCTGAAAAGCAGCCAATCACAGGTTACTTCCTCCCTCAAAATGATAAAAGATGATGTGAGCCACAGAAACCTGATCAGAGAAGATGGATACCGTCATTAATATAAAATATTTGGGTCTGGTTTTTCTGAATCAGCACTTAAAAAACATGCAAAATGAGCATGGAGAATAAGTTAATGTTGCAATAAGACGGTTGTTTCCTTAAATTTAAACTGTCTGACTCAGTGGTTGTGTCTATGAGCAGGAAACCTCATTGGCTTTGCTTCCTGATGGTGTTAGAGGCCGTTTGCTAACAGTGGACAGCAGCTTAGCGTCTTACGTTCCACAGCAGAGTTCCACAGACGTCTCTCTCTCTGTTCCACCGTCCAACAGTTCCGACACTGGAACCTGGAGCGACACCACCCGAACTGGGTCCGGATACACCTGCAGAATGAGGAGGGGCCGAGCATCAGCACCCCTGAGGAGGCAGCTGAGTCCAGGAGGAGGTCTCTGCTTACCTCATCCACCGTCCTCAGGCCCTGGATGGTTCTGGCTTTCTGCAGCGGAACCTCCAGGCTGTAGACCACCTGATCAGCGGAGATTATGTCATTGACACACGTTTCTACCTGCTGCAGCTGGGAGGAACTGAGAGAACCCTGAGGAGAACCCAAAGAACACTTCAGGAAAGGCAGATCCGCTACCGCTCAGTCGGTCACTCAGCTGATTAAATGGGTCAGAACCTTCATGCTGAAGTCGAAGCGCAGGCGGTCGGCTGATATGTGAGAACCTCTCTGTTGCACAGATTGACCCAGAACTTTCCTCAGAGCGAAATTCAGGATGTGAGTCGCTGTGTGTTTTGCCATGCAGGACAGCCGGTGGGCCTGACGGAGAGACGGGACCGGGTCGGATCAAAACGAGGTTCCATATTAGCCTAATGAATACGTTGGGTTTTGTTGTGGTACCTGGTCGAGGTGCAGGTGGACCTGGTCTCCGGTCCGCAGCTTGTCTGCAGCAGTGATCTGATGGACCACGTATCCTCCGGCCCGGGTCACCGCCTCCACCGAATACAGAACATCCTGTGCAACAGAAAGGCTTGAGTCATCCAGAACCTCATACCGGATCGTTCCCATAATGCTCTGCTCACCTGCAGCCCGTCCCGTGTCAGGTAGCCCTGGTCATGTGACTGCCCCCCCTGCTCTGAGTAAAAACGGGTTCGGTCCAGAATGACTCCGCAGCGCTGACCCTCGCTGACCTCCGGAACGAGCGCCTGACCATTATACAGAGCCAGGACTGTGGCTCGGCATGCTGGGAACACTGGGAGGACGAAGGAGAGGCGTTACGGCCGTCAACCAATCACAGACCATGTCCCGCCCAGCGGCGTACCGTATCGCCCGTCCTCCAGCTGGTACCGGTACTTCGGTGTGTCGTCGGTGTTGGGGACGCCGCTGCGTTGCAGCTCGGCCAGGCTCAGGACGTCCGGCAGGAGACGGGGCCTAACACCCGCCTGCTGCTCCAACAGCATCTGAGACAATGGCATCATCAGTCACAACATCACTGATCTCCTTCACAATAAAAGCTCAGACGAAAGCCCTCCATGATGGAGGCTGATTCAGTCCGACCCAGAGCTGGTCGGCAGGGAGTCTTCCACCGAACCGCAGCGTCACCTTCTGGTTCTCAGAGATAAGTCGGTCCAACTCCAGACGGTCCACCTGGACGCCTCTCTCCTCCAACATCAGGTCCACCAGGTCCAGAGGAAAGCCCAAGTCACGGTGCAGAGACCAGGCCACCAAGGCTGAGGAAGAGCCAACAGGACGGTTTGTGGAGGAAATGGGTGCAGATTATTAATCAATAATCGCTAACTAACCAGGAAAGGGGCTTCCTGCGGCCCCCATCCGGCTGACGGTTCTCTGGATCAGCCGGCTGCCGTGCTGCAGAGACGACAGGAAGTGAGCCTCGTTCTCGTTGATGACATCAACAATCTGAAAGAGAGGATCCTGATGACTACTTCCTGTTTGAGGGTCCGCATGCTGATGGTGAAGGAAGACTCACCCGGTCCGCCTCCCGGGTCAGGTCTGGGTTTGTGTCGCCCTGCCGGCAGAGCGAATGGTTCAGTCAACCAGCAGACAGTAAACCCACCACATGGTTGTGGTTCTGGCTAGATCAGTCTCGATGTTGATTCTGATCAAACTGAAATCTCCTCAACCCAAAGGCATGATGGGAAATGTATTTTACCAGGATATGAACGACTGTAGGAGCCAGGCTGGCCAACGCCCCCTGTGGAGCCTTCAGAACCTCAACAGAGAACCGGACCGCCCGCCTCAAGATCCTCCTCAGCACCAACCTGAGCACCAACAGGAAGACGGGTGAACGACACTGATGTTAGACATCATCAGCGCTGCCAGCTGATTGGCTGGACACTCACTCGGCTCCGGACATCCCAGGATGGATCCCGTCAGCGATGCAGACTGATAAGGTACGGATGTGGTCTGCTACCACCCTGTAGGCCCGATCCACCTGGCCCTCGTCCGCCTCCCCCGTCCTACCGCCGTAAGGCCCCACCCCCGACCTCTGATAACACAGATACATGTCACCATGGTGATGGGCCGGCCTTGTAATGCGCCTCTGGGTCTGCGTGTACCTGGTGGATGGCGTCCAGCAGCGGTGTGAAGAGGTCGGTGTCGTAGTTGGACCGTTTGCCCTGCAGGATGCTGACCAGTCTCTCCAGTCCCATCCCAGTATCCACGCTGAACTGGGGCAGCAAGCGCAGACTGTGGTCCGCCTCCCTGAAACAGACCAGGACCTGAGCTAAACGGAACTCAAACATGAACCGGGTCCTGGGCTAAGTGAGTGCTAACTAGTCTGAAGGAACTGGTCTGAACTGGTCTGAGGTGATTTCAGCTGAAGGAATTCAGTCTTATCAGTATGGAGTGAACTTCGTTCCACTATTGTTGTTTTCAATATGGAAAATTACCAAAAAAACTGCAATCCAAAAATGAAACTTTGAAAAACCTTCAGAATCATAAATGTTGAGAGAAACTTTTTTTATTCATTTTTGCCGATATTTTGATCTTTTTTTTTTATATATATACAGGTGCTGGTCATAAAATTAGAATATCATGAAAAAGTAGATTGATTTCAGTAATTCCATTTAAAAAGTGAAACTTGTATATTATATTCATACATTACATACAAACTCATATATTTCAGATGTTTATTTTGTTTAATTTTGATGATTACAAATGACAACAAATGAAAATCTCAAATTCATCATATCAGAAAATTAGAATATTGTGAAAAGGTTCAAAATTGATGGCCCCTGGTGCCACACTCTAATCAGCTAATTAACTCAAACCACCTGCAAAAGCCTTTAAATGGTCTTTCAGTCTAGTTCTATAGGCTACACAATCATGGGGAAGACTGCTGACTTGACAGTTGTCCAAAAGACGACCATCGACACCTTGCACAAGGAGGGCAAGACACAAAAGGTCATCGCTAAAGAGGCTGGCTGTTCACAGAGCTCAGTGTCCAAGCACATTAATAGAGAGGCGAAGGGAAGGAAAAGATGTGGTCGAAAAAAGTGTACAAGCAAGAGAGATAACCGCACCCTGGAGAGGATTGTGAAACAAAACCCATTCAAAAATGTGGAGGAGATTCACAAAGAGTGGACTGCAGCTGGAGTGAGTGCTTCAAGAACCACCACACACAGACGTATGAAAGACATGGGTTTCTGCTGTCGCATTCCTTGTGTCAAGCCACTCTTGAACCACAGACAGCGTCAGAAGCGTCTTGCCTGGGCTAAAGAGAAACAGGACTGGACTGCTGGTGAGTGGTCCAAAGTCATGTTCTCTGATGAAAGTAAATTTTGCATTTCCTTTGGAAATCAAGGTCCCAGAGTCTGGAGGAAAAGAAGAGAGGCACTTCATCCACGTTGCTTGAAGTCCAGTGTAACGTTTCCACAGTCAGTGATGGTTTGGGGTGCCATGTCATCTGCTGGTGTTGGTCCATTGTGTTTTCTGAGGTCCAGGGTCAACGCAGCCACATACCAGGAAGTTTTAGAGCACTTCATGCTTCCTGCAGCTGACCAACTTTTTGGAGATGCAGATTTCATTTTCCAACAGGACTTGGCACCTGCACACAGTGCCAAAGCTACCAGTACCTGGTTGAAGGACCATGGTATCCCTGTTCTTAATTGGCCAGCAAACTCTCCTGACCTTAACCCCATAGAAAATCTATGGGGTATTGTGAAGAAGAAGATGCAATACACCAGACCCAACAATTCAGAAGAGCTAAAAGCCACTATTAGAGCAACCTGGGCTATCATAACACCTGAGCAGTGCCACAGACTGATCGACTCCATGCCACGCCGCATTGCTGCAGTAATACAGGCCAAAGGAGGCCCAACTAAATACTGAGTGCTGTACATGCTCATACTTTTCATGTTCATACTTTTCAGTTGGCCAACATTTCTATAAATCCTTTGTTTTTATTGGTCTTCAGTAATATTCTAATTTTCTGATATGATGAATTTGAGATTTTCATTTGTTGTCATTTGTAATCATCAAAATTAAACAAAATAAACATCTGAAATATATGAGTTTGTATGTAATGTATGAATATAATATACAAGTTTCCCTTTTTAAATGGAATTACTGAAATCAATCTACTTTTTCATGATATTCTAATTTTATGACCAGCACCTGTATATATATATATATTTAACATTAACCTACATGGCCTATAGAAAATGTTTTATTGGGCTTGAAGGGAAGAAAACATCTGTAAAGCCGAATTTGAAAAGAATGTCATTGGTAAAATTCCTTTATAAAATAAAAGTTGAAACTTTAAAATCTGTAAGAAAATTTTTTTATAAATGTGAAAGAATAAGAATAAAAAAAAAGGTGTTTTAAAAAATTTAATCTGAAGAGCAGATTTACCTATTCTTTACCTTTTTTTTAAATTAAGATTTTTTTTGTTTCATTTTTAGAATTAATTTTTTTCATATTTTATTTCCAAAACATGTTCTTTACAACAATAATTGAACACAATTCACTCCATAAATTAATCCAAGAAGGAAGCAAAAGGCTGGTCCTCTATGGGGCCAAGTTGGGAATGTAACATTTCATCCAAAATACATTTCTTTTTAACAGAAAAGTTATTTGGAAAGTGGAAAAAAGTTTTTTCCCCCCTGTAATGCAAAATGTTTAAATAGTTTGTAGAATGTTGGCATATTTACTGCTCTGAGTGGGTTGCTTTTTCAGCTAATGGCTTGTGTTAAAGTCTGTATACCCCAGTTAACCAAAAACTAACCAGAAACTGGACGCGCTGCATCATCAGTGTTGGGCATGTTACTTTGAAAAAGTAATTAGTTATAGTTACTAGTTACCTCTCCCAAAAAGTAACAGAGTTAGTAACTGAGTTACTCCACAATAAAAGTAACTAGTTAGTAGTAAAAGTAACTATTGCGTTACTTTTGCGAGTGTATAAAATTCCTTCCACTCCTTAGAAAGCTTCCTGAACCGATTTTACTAACAATCCTCTGGACACTGCAGTCCTTTCATGTAACGCTTTTTCCTTCCACTCAACTTTCCATAAATATGCTTGGATACAGGAACAACCAGTAAAAAATTCTGAGCTTTTTAAAAATATTTTGTTTTGTTTTAGATTTGATGGTTTGTGTGACCTGCACCTGGTCTCCAGCTGCTGGGGGTGAAAACAGACCTGTTGTATTGGATGAAGACCAGGTTCCAGATCTCCACCACCTCTGGACTGTCCGCGTTGACGAGCCGAGCAGCGTCTCGGCCCCCGACGTGGTCGTAGTGGATCTCGGTGCAGGGGCCGCAGGGCCCCGTGTCACCCATCTCCCAGAAGTTATCTTTCAAACCAAACGGCAGGACGCGAGCAGGAGGAACCCTAGAAGGAGGAGCCGGGTCAGAGGATTCAGAACCGGGTCTGGGCCCAGCTGCAGACAGAGGTGGACCTACCCCAGGTCCAGCCAGATGTTCCGCGTTTCCTCATCAGCCAGCAGACCCGATGCAGCATCTCCACCAAAATACGACACGTAGAGTCTTTCAGGTGGTATCCCGTAATGCTCTGTGAGGAGGCTCCAAGCCATCTGACAAGCCTCTTCCTGTAACACACACAGAAACACACTGAAGCTCCGCCTACTGCACACAGAAAGCCACCTGGCGAAGGAAAAAGCCTCTCCCACCTTGAAGTAGTCTCCAAAGGACCAGTTCCCAAGCATCTCGAAGAAAGTGTGGTGATACACGTCCCGACCCACGTCATCCAGATCGTTGTGCTTGCCGCCGGCTCGGACACATCTCTGACTGTTGGCCACGCGGCGGTATGACGCCATCGGGCTGCGGGGGTCCACCGTCCCCAGGAAGATCGGCTTGAACTGGAAACACAAGAATCAGAGCTGTTCAGACGGATCAATTCCTCAGGAGGGGTTCTGGCAGTGTTCTGGTGCTCTCGGGCCCAACGTCTAAAAACCAAAGTCTAAATGACGTTAGGTGTTTAGGGAGGTAGAGTAAATCTAAAGATATTTTTACATTTTTTTTTCCATAGACTTTCAATGATGGAAAGAAAAGCTTAATAACTATATGACTTGGATTCATCTCTTAATCTTGCATTGAAGAAAACGCTTACTGACAGACTGACTCCTATTACATGACATTTTATGTCTGGGAAAGCATCTGAAGGCGGCGATAACTTATGTTCTGAAGTGTTGGGCTGGTGATCTTTCACTGCTAAAAGATGATTGCTTTAGGGTCAGTACTTACTTACTTACTTACTTACTTACTTACTTCCTTACTTCCATCCATCCATCCATCCATCCATCCATCCCACTTATCCCAAACAGGACAAACGACCATTCACTCATACCTAAGGAGAATTTAGAGAAGCCAGTTAACTTAACACCTTCTTGCAAGGCAGAAACCATAGTAATCAGGACTAAAATAGCAGCTAAATCAAAGCTAAAGTAGATTTAACCTTTTTTACAACAGTTAAAGCTCTCTGCTGGGACTGAGACATAAAAGGGGATTAGAATTCTTTCCACCTGAGAACCCCAGAACGGTTTATTGGCTGGAGGTAAATTATCTGTGAATGAAATTGAATAAAAAGCACATCATTTTACTTATGACTCAATTAAAAGAGGTTCTTTAAGGATTGCCAAATGCACAGCGTTCCAGGAATCTACCAGGAAACCCCCTGAGTGAGAAAGAGAAAAGGGGCCCCAAGATTTTCATGCATTTAGTTCTGATCACCTATATTCAGGATATTTTGTTTGTGTGTTTCTGTCTGTCTTTTTTGTTTTCCCATTTGTGAAATCCCAATTTAGCTACTTCTTTCTTGGGAAAAGTAGAGGTGAGCGAGCAGATCAGTTTGAACTCTAAAACAGGACGGTGTCTGGTTACCATGGCTACGCTCACCCTTTCCCTGAACTGTTTTCAAAACATAAACAGGGAGTTAAAAGTGTTAAAGAGTTAATGTGCTATTATTCAACACTGGATTAAGGTAATTGATATGATATTAAATCCCAATAAGGTAAATCCAACAGTAGGAAAACGTTAAAAGAATTTTGCTTTGTTTAGTTGGGCATTTCTTTTAATAATTTAGTAATGTATTTATTATTCAATGCTAAATCCAAATTTGTTAAACTCATGACTTTAAAATTACTAATACCTCAGTAATAATTTAAATTAAATTCAGTTTACTTATATAGGGCCAATTCACACCTTACAATTTAACCAGATCATACATTCAAATTGATTCAAAGTTTTCTATCTAAGGAAGCAGACATACAGAAAGAAGCAGAGATACAAAAGACGACAGTAAACCAGCTCCACAGGCTGCCCTGTCCAGGAAACACAGCCAGGAAGATGACTAACTGGATGTAAAGAGAGCAAATCCAGTTAGTCACAGTCAGAGAAACAGGCCTACACTGAAAAAATAGAACCTTTTTAGGTAAAAAAATAAATAAATAAAAAATCCATACATGTGTAAAGCAAAATTACTTGTGACTTACTTATGACAAATAAATAAAATATATTTTTATATTTATCTGGAGTTATTTAAGGTTTAAAATCCAGATTAGTGAAGCACCACTACCCTTTCTACAAAGTTAAAGAAGAATTTTATTTTGATCAGACAGTAAGTTGATATTTTTATAGTGAGTATTTTCTATAATAAAATTTAGTCCATAAGTCTGGTGGGAGAAAATTGACTTGATGTGCCTCTTCAATAAACACCTGCAAAGAGACACCTGAGACATCCAGAGCTTCCAGGACCAAAACCAATAAGTATATATTTTTTATTAGTGACAGTCTCTGACCCAACTGCAGGGAAATCTAGGTTTCTGGGCTGAAATAGATCTGTACATAAAAAAAAACTAAAAAGTAATTCATTCCAACTGGACTGACCTGGTTCATGCCGGCGTTCACGAACAACAGGCTGGGATCTCCTCTGGGCCGGACCGGAGCGGAGGGAACCACCAAATGTCGGTGTTTGTCCCGGAAGAAGTCCAAGAAGGTTTTGCGGACCTGTGCGGAGGGCAGGCTGCTCAAAGAGCGCTCCGACCCGGGCGAGAGCCGCCGGAGCCTCTGGAGCTTCTGGAGCAGCAGCCGGGACATCTGGATCACAGTGTCACCGCACCAGAACCGCCCGGGATTATGATCAGCCTCAAGGACTACAGGTTGAGTCAGTGCGCATGCGCAGTCAAACTCCATTCTTCTTTTACTGATAATATGAAAGATGAGCGCCGTGTCGACACCTTGTGTTGAAATGGAGCTACTGCAGCAGATGAAGAAAAGGGTTTTTACAAAAAATTACATAAAAGATTAAGTTCTACTGTTTTGGGGTTAATAAAATCAGGATCCACAAATCAGCCACTTTTAAACAAATTCCTCTTAAATAATTTTAGGTTTAAATATTTATAACAAAATTAGATTAGATTAGATTCAACTTTATTGCCATTGCACAGGTACAAGGCAACGCAATGCAGTTTAGGTCTAACTAGAGGTGTGCAGCAACATTCCCGAGTTTGCAAATACATTGTCCTCCGATCACATGGGATTTTTTTTCCTCTAAAAAAATATTTTATCATTCAATGTGAAAAAATCGGTATGAGGAAGGAAATACAAATTCTGAACTATTTTAGAAAAACAAAAATAAAAGAAATTTGATGTCAGATAAAAAAAATATTATTTTTCCTCCCATGGTCAGAGTTCCATCAGTGAAGGAAAAGTCTGGTGGAGACATGCCTCCCACCAGATGAGTCTCTGTGTCTCTCTGCTCTGGTTTCCTCTGGAAGGAGGTTCACCTGTCATTAAGCAGGCTCTCTTATTATTCTGATCTGTCACAGCCATAACGGGATCTTCAATATCTCTAAACCAATCAAAATGCTGAAAAATAAGATATAAGAGTCAGACATGATATTCCGAAATGATTTCACAAAGAAAAAATATTCATCAAATGAAGAACATGATGGAGAACCCTTAATTTAACCTCAGGATCATAAAATGTTTTTTTTCTTCAGTGGAATTGAAATGAAGAGTTTCCATCAACAGTTTTTCCTTCATAGGGTTGCCAAGTTTGAACATTAAAATCCAACATTGATTAACAGGTTCTGATTTTACTGTTTCTCCACCACAGACTATTCTATTCTATTCTATTCTATTCTATTCTATTCTATTCTATTCTATTCTATTCTATTCTATTATGAATGATGAACGTTGAAGATGATGATGAAAGAACCAGCAGGAACAATTATGACAACGTTAGAAATGATGAAGGTGTAAAATGTTTATAATTTTTCTTATTATTTCATTAAATTAGTACAGCCATTCATTTGATCCAGTTAACTGATCCGTTCATTCGATCCAGTTATTTGATAATTCATTCGATCCAGTTAATTGATCGGTTCATCCGATCCAGATAATTGATCGGTTCATTCGATCCAGTTAATTGATCGGTTCATTCGATCCAGTTAATTGATTGGTTCATCTGATCCAGTTAATTGATCGATTAATTCGATCCAGTTAATTGATTGGTTCATCTGATCCAGTTAATTGATCGGTTAATTCGATCCAGTTAATTGATTGGTTCATCTTATCCAGTTAACTGATCCGTTCATTTGATCCAGTTAATTGACTGGTTCATCTGATCCAGTTAACTGATCCGTTCATCTGATCCAGTTAATTGATTGGTTCATTCTATCCAGTTAATTGATCGGTTCCTGTGAACATTTCAGCCTCTCGGTTCCAGTCTGATATCCATCTAGTTGAAGCTGCCCTGAGCGTGTCGACCCTCATCAAATTTAATTCAAATCATTTAAATTAAATGTGTTGGTTTCGTCCCATTTCTAACGCAAAAATGTTCCCATTCGGGTGTTTCCGATCCTCTCTTGGTCCTTGAACGTCTCGGAAACAAGACCTTGCAGAACCTCATCAGACCTGATTAAAGCCACCTGGAGGCGCGCGCGGCCCCCTGAGCGGAAGTCTCCGAGGTCAGGAATTGTTTCGTGTGCGTGGAGTTTGGTTCGGTTTGTTTCGGCGGGATGCAGAAAGGCCTGAAGAAATATTTTGTAAATATGGACGAGTACCTGTCCAGTCTGGGTCTGTATCGGAAGATGGTTGCGCGCGACGCGTCCAGTCTGTTCCGGGCCGTTTCCGAGCAGGTGAGTCTGCGTAAACCTGGGAGGGTTCTGGTCGGAGGATCTTCTGGGTATCTGCTTCTGATAAATGTATGGGGCGCCGTTTGTAAAGTTAAGCTACGGAAGAGGTTCAGGGCCACTGGAAAAAATAAAAAAAGTTAACATCTTAATTTTTTTCAAACATTATTTCTTAATATGACTGTCTCTTTTTTTCCTCCAAATTCTGACTTTTTTCTTCCGAATTCTGACCTTTTTTCCTCCGAATTGTGACCTTTTTTCCTCCGAATTGTGACCTTTTTTCCTCCGAATTGTGACCTTTTTTCCTCCGAATTGTGACCTTTTTTCCTCCGAATTGTGACCTTTTTTCCTCCGAATTGTGACCTTTTTCTTCCGAATTCTGACCCTTTTCCTCCGAATTCTGACCTTTTTCCTCCGAATTCTGACCTTTTTTCCCCTTCGAATTCTGACCCTTTTTTCCCCCTCCGAATTCTGACCCTTTTTTCCCTCTCCGAATTCTGACCCTTTTTTCCCTCTCCGAATTCTGACCCTTTTTTTTCACCTCCGAATTCTGACCCTTTTTTTCCCCTCCGAATTCTGACCCTTTTTTTTTCCCTCCGAATTTTGACTCTTTTTCCTCAGAATTTTGACTTAGAATTCGGACTCCTCAGAATTCAGACTTTTTTTCCCCCCCTCAGCATTCGGACTTTTTTTTTCCCCCTCAGAATTCTGACTTTTCTTTTCCCCCTCAGAATTCAGACTTTTTTCCCCCTCAGAATTCAGACTTTTTTTCCCCCTCAGAATTCGGACTTTTCTTTTCCCCCTCAGAATTCGGACTTTTTTTTCCCCTCAGAATTCTGGACTTTTTTTACCCCTCAGAATTCTGGACTTTTTTCCCCCTCAGAATTCCGGACTTTTTTCTCCCTCAGAATTCCGGACTTTTTTCCCCCTCAGAATTCCGGACTTTTTCCCCCCTCAGAATTCCGGACTTTTTCCCCCCTCAGAATTCCGGACTTTTTCCCCCCTCAGAATTCCCGACTTTTTTCCCCCTCAGAATTCCGGACTTTTTTCTCCCTCAGAATTCCGGACTTTTTCCCCCCTCAGAATTCCGGACTTTTTTCCCCCCTCAGAATTCCGGACTTTTTCCCCCCTCAGAATTCCCGACTTTTTTCCCCCTCAGACTTTCGGACTTTTTTCCCCCTCAGACTTTCGGACTTTTTTCCCCCTCAGACTTTCGGACTTTTTTCCCCCTCAGACTTTCGGACTTTTTTCCCCCTCAGAATTCGGACTTTGTTTCTCTGAATTCGGACTTTGTTTCTCTGAATTCGGACTTTGTTTCTCTGAATTCTGGCATTCATTTTTTATTTTTTTTTAAGATCTCTTTTTATTAAACACAAAACAAATGGTTACATTATTGGCTCAATATACGTTTTTTTTAACATTACAAATCACACACCCTCCCCCCACCCCTCAGAACTACTGTGCGTCTACCTACAAGATCAAAAAGTAATAAAACAGTCAGAATCATTTATATACACATATATATCTTAGACCAAAAAACAGAGGAAAACAAAAAAGCATCAAGCCGTAGCCATGTCTCTTTTAGAGACTAAACATTCCCTAGCCCTATTCTGACTAAAGTCATAATTCTGAGATTAAAGGTTTTTTTTTATTTTCTTCAGTGACTCTAATCCTCTTCCGTTTTAAGCAGTCAAAAATTTTAGGCAATATTTATGGTTATTTGGCGTGTTTCAAGAGAAAAATAAGGGATTTATTTTCTTTGCAAAAAATATTTAGTTTGGAGCTAAATATTTAGTTTGCAAATCAAGGTTTTTAAAACAGTCGTGTGTGTGTGTGTTTGTATTTATGTATAATTTTTTTTGTTAAATACTTAGCTTCAAACGAAATATTTAGTTTGCAAGTTAAATGTTTAATTTTTAGCAATATATTTATTTGACAAAGTAAGATTTTTTATAAATGAATGAATGACTTGGAAAAAAATAAACCCCTTATTTATCTCCTAAAACATGCTTAATAACCATAAATATTGCTCCTTATTTTTCACTGCTTAAAGGAATAGTACACCCAAAACATGATTAGCCTTCATTTTCTACTCACCTCCATGCTGAACAACACTCTGGAGTACTTTTTTGATATCTCAAATGCATCTGGAGATCTGGGAGGCTTCTTGCTGTCTGCTGACATTCAAATAATGGAGGTCCATGGCGCCCGAGACAGAAAGGTCCATAAAAGTCCACAAAAACGTGTCAATATTCCTCCATACTGCTCGTCCAATGTAATCCAAGTGTCCTGAGTGGGTAGCATCCAGAATTTACTCGAAACGAAGTCATTTAGAATGTTTTTAGAGCATAAACAGTAGTGTATAGGATTTCCTAATAGCGCCCCCATGCGCGCTCACGATTCTACGGAAGCCGGCAGACCAAACCGGAAGAAAGTGCGCATTCAGCGTCTGGTCTGCCGATAATGCAAGCGTAGAAGAAGAAATGTGCTGTTTACCTGTGCAAAGAAAGAAACAACGAAAGAAAAATGTCTGAGGACTTCAGTGTTGAGGAAGAGCATGAGTTCTTTGCCGAGCTGAATGCGCTGGTTTGGTCTGCCGGCTTCCGTAGAATCGTGAGCGCGCATGGGGGCGCTATTAGGAAATCCTATACACTACTGTTTATGCTCTAAAAACATTCTAAATGACTTCGTTTCGAGTAAATTCTGGATGCTACCCACTCAGGACACTTGGATTACATTGGACGAGCAGTATGGAGGAATATTGACACGTTTTTGTGGACTTTTATGGACCTTTCTGTCTCGGGCGCCATGGACCTCCATTATTTGAATGTCAGCAGACAGCAAGAAGCCTCCCAGATCTCCAGATGCATTTGAGATATCAAAAAAGTACTCCAGAGTGTTGTTCAGCATGGAGGTGAGTAGAAAATGAAGGCTAATCATGTTTTGGGTGTACTATTCCTTTAACTTTACAAATGGTGCCCATTATGTTAGACCTGGCTTTTTAATTGAAGACTAAGCAGAACGAGGGTCAGAGGTCACCTGCTGGAGCCGAATGGGTCAGCTGCTCTGGTCAGAACAGGACCACCCTTACGCTTTTGGGCCCGGTCTTACCTGTTCTGTTCTTTTCTGTCTACAGCTTTATTACTCTCAGAACTATCATCAGAAGATCCGACAGGATTGCGCAAACTTCATGAGAGCCAACAGGTGTGACTTTGAGCCGGTAAGTTCATCACTAATGGCTCTATCAGAACCGGGGAAGTCCTAATACAAACTTTATTTAATCATAAATAATTCCACAAACTGTGTTTGGAGGAAGGAGGAGTACATCCCAAGAACACCATCCCTACGAAGCGTGGGGGTGATAGCATGATGCTTTGGGGCTGGTTTTCTCCACATGGGACAGGGCAACTGCACTGTATTAAGGAGAGGATGACCAGGGTCATGTATTGTGAGATTTTAGAGAACAACCTCCTTCCCTCAGTTAGAGCACTGAAGATGGGTCAAGGCTGGATCTTCCAACATGACAACATGGCACTTAGCCAGGATAACCAAATAGTGGCTCTGGAAGAAGCATATCAAGGTCTCCAGACTTAAACCCAATAGAGAAACTTTGGAGGGAGCTCAAACTTTTGTGTCTCATCGACAGCGCTGAAACCTGACTGTTGTAAAGAGGATCTGTTTGGAAGAATAGGCCAAAATCCCTCCTGCACTGTGTGCAAAACCGGTGAAAAACTAAAGGAAAACGTTTGACCTATGTAATTGCAAACAAAGCCTACTGTACCAAATGTTAACATTGATTTTCTCAGGTGTTCATACATATCATACATAGGGATTTCTGGATTTATTTATTTTTTTTTTAAGATTGTGTCTCACAGTTGACATACACATAAAATGATAATTTCAGACCTCTCCATGATTTCTAAGTGGGAAAACTTGCAAAATAGCAGGGTGTTGAAATACTTATTTTCCTCACTGTACATTTTTACTTTGAGAAAAAAGCAGAGAAAAAGTTGGGGGATTATTTAACAAATCCTGAAGAATAGGAGAATGGATGTCCTCCAGCAGTCTAAGCCTATAGCAGCATAACCGTAGAGATGGCTCAGGATAACCTGAGCCACTCTAACTATAAGCTTTATCACAAAGGAAAGTTTTAAGTCTACACTTAAAAGTTGAAAGGGTGTCTGTCTCAAGGACTAAAGGGCCTGTCAGACCTTGACGATTTAGACCAGCATATGCCTGGTGTACGAAAAACCTGGTGAAAACGCTGGCATACATTGTATAAGTTATGGGTACTTTGGACAAGTCATGAGCATGCTGAATTACGCTGGCATACAGTTAAGTTATTTGATCGTTGACGTAAGTTAAAGGGGTCATAGAATGATTATATAGGGCATTTGGTGCTGGTTCTTAAGGTCTCTGAATAGTGTGTAACATTGGTTGGGCTGAAAATGGCTTATTTGCTGTTCTATGAGCCGTACTGCAAGCCTGGTTAAAAGCCCCAGAATGAAACGACTGGTTTTCTTCCTTTTATGGTATGCTCATGAATATTTAGATGACCTGTGCGCTGATTTACAACGAACAAAGCTGCTGAGCAAAGACGCATCATAGCAACAAGCACTCACTCGCTGAAACATCAAATTGTTGATATGGTAGGGTGACCAGACGTCCTCTCTCTCCCAGACATGTCCTTCTTTTCATACCTAAATGTCTGGGGGAATTTCAAAATCTTCCAGGATTTTGGTTGACTACAGTGCACCACGTAGTCGAAACACACCTGGCATTCGAACCAAGCAGTCAGCTCCGGGGAAGTTCCGGGAACCTCGGCGCAGAGGGGGAGGGAGCCGGCGGGTGATGGAGCGACCAGACCTGAGCGGGTGACAGTAGCTGTGGCACGCTAAGGCAGGTGGGTGGAAGCCTACCATCACCGGGTCGGGTTCAGACGTTCCGTCCCCGGTTGGCTCCGGTCCCGGACCAGGCTTGGAGCTGATGGCTCGGTTCGAGTGCCCAGTCCGGTCCAGTCCATGGCCCAGCAGCCCCTCAGGACAATGGCTTGTGCTTCATTTCATGGGCATTACGCTGCCGTGTGTTATGCATAAGTTGGGCCGTCGTTGGACATAAGTTCTGGACTTGTTATGAATATGCAATGTATACGCCCAAGATTGAAAAAAACATAGAAAGTTCCCCATATGCCAGCATTTTAGGAGATTCTAGCACGTCCGACATCTAACTCACCAAGGTGTGACAGGGCCCTAAAGCTGGTAATTGGTTCCACAGGAGAGGAGCCTGATAACTTAAAGATCTGCCTCCCATTCTACTTTTAGAAATACTAGGAACCCCTAATAAACCTGCAGATTGAGAGCGAAGTGCTCTGTTAGGAACATAAGGAACAGTCAGATCTTTCATATAAGACGGAGCTTGGATATTTAGGGCTTTATATGTGAGAGGTAGGGGTAGATGAAAGACCAAGTCCTGCCAGATGTCTTATCTTTCGGTCTGTCTAAATCTGTTCTCGCTGCAGTTTGTGGAAGGGTCCTTTGAGAAGTACTTGGAACGTTTGGAAGATCCAAAGGTGAGTCCCCAGGCCTCTGTCACACGTATACTCTGGATTAGATGAGCTCAGTGTGTGTGGGGGGGGTTTGTGTTTGCAGGAGACGGTGGGTCAGGTGGAGATCAAGGCTCTCTCTCAGCTCTACAGGTGAGGACCAGTCTCATGAGTAAAGCAAATCACATGGTTCCAGCCTATTCAAGGTAACCTTTTGTCTTTGACCTCCAGGCGGTGCTTCCTGATCTATCGTTACCCCGGGAAACCAGCTACGGTCATCTCGGAGAACGACTTTGTGGATAAGGTGAGAGCGCTGAAGAAACACTTTCAGACTGGTCACTAATTGGCTGCCGTTGACACCAGTTTACTGTGTTGCCTAGGTAACCCTGTGCTGCTCCATCAATGGTCACTATGATATAATCTATGGGAGGAGCTACCCAGCTTCAGCAGCGCTCTGCCAGTGTGAGTGGGTGTGGCAAGGGGGTGAGTCAGAGATGATTCCGGGGGTGTATCTACCTGCTCAGGTGTGTGTCTGTGTGCAGCTCTACTCTACGAGCTCCTCTACACTCGGGTATTTGGAGTGGAGGGGGCGGAGCTCTGCCAGGCCATGGAGGCCTTTAGGGCAGGAGGGCGTCGGTATAGAAACAGCCCATCTGTCTGCAGTGACGTTGATGTAGGCTACGACGCACCGGAGGACCGAGCGCTTAGGTGACGATACATTACACCTCCGGCTTTCTGACTGGATCCCTGTGGTTATGTGATTTCAGCATGTGTTGGTTTTACCTGCAGAGAGGACGTGGAGGCGGGGGGAGCGGCAGAGGAGGGCAAGGTAAGAATTGGCCGGCAATGGGCTCTGACCGCAGGAAGCATTAGCAGAGATCAGCTGATTGAGTTCTCTTTAAGAACTGTGAAGTTATGTTGATGCTTGTTCTCTGTAGTTATACTGGTTTCCATGACTGGAAGTACATATATATATTCAGCTTTTAGTGAATATTTTTAAAAGAAAGCAGCTGGAAGTCGTCTGAATATGGACCGTCAAACTGGGACAGCAAAGATCTGCCTGAACTTAATTTGCTTGCAGAAGATACTAAACCTGGAAGTTACAGGTCTAGCGACCCTAGTGGCTAAAAAATAATGTCAAGTAGATATTTATTATTTTTTTTAATGTAATTTCTTAAATATTTATAACATTTGGGGCTGCAAAGAAGTTTTAACTGGACTGAGGGCAACAATAATTTTTGGATCGTAAATTGCAGACCCTTGGCCCATCACTGTGATATTGGTCCTTTAATACCCTAAAGTTGATGTAATTTCTGTTGTTTTTTTTTTGTTGGCCGCTGAGGCTCCTCCGACCTGCAGATTGTCTTTGCCCTACAAGGTTCTGAAGTCTCTGGATGGAGACGTTTACAGGAACCTAGAGTTTGACGTGTGGCAGGACACCTGCAAAGGTAACAGGAAGTTGCATGACTTCTGAAAACAAACCCTAGTTTGGCTGGTGATTGATTATTGAGGACTTCTGTCTACTTATGGATCTTAGTTTGAACCTCCTCCTAGTGAACACAGTCATGTCCCTCATAAACATGGAAACAGAATAGTTCATACAAGACTGGAACTAGATATAACGGACTCAGAAATGCTCCATATTTTTAGGATGTCGGGTAGGAGTGAACAACAGTTGTAATCCAGTTACTTTGCTGTGACAGAGATGCAGAAGACAGACTACATGGTGTTTGCGGGACGGCAGTACTTCCTGGGAGACAAGTGCCAGGTAACGCCTCATTTTCTGTGGGTCTTAGAATTGAGTTTGTTTTTTGGCTGTAGATCATCAGACAACTTTCTTTCAGTCACAGATTCCCTCTGCAATGCAGCCCCGGGTAATTTCCACAAGACAAAAAAAAGATCTGATGATGGGATTATAAAATAAAAATTTGATGTAAGGAAATTGTTCTTTGAAGAAAATTTTGGCAAAATGAGCCATGTTAATTGCCCGGATAAAGACCTGAAGGTCCCTCCGGTAAAAGAGCTTTTATTAGTTAGTTTTTAAGTAATTGTAGTCTTGATTTTTGGTATCAAATTTAAAATCTGGTATCATGACAACCATGTCATAAACTTTAAATCAAGTTTTGATTTGGTCAGCCTAGACTTAATCATTAATATGGTGCTGTATCAACAGCTTTTCAGGCTTCCTGGAGGATTCTTAAAATGGTTTGGGCTAAAACTGAACAACAAAGCAGTTTAATTTCCGTTTGAGAACAGTAAGTTACTTCAAAGAAGAATCTGATCAAGACGAGTTTTACAGACGAGTGGACTGGGTCTTAGGAAGAAAAATTAATGGACAAGGAATAAATAAATCTATACACTCTGTATTGGGGGCTTGTCCGGGATACACTATCTTAGTTTCTTTTCCTGAAAGTTTGGCTTTTCAATAAAGGTTCTGAATGAACCAAAACAGACTGTACATCAAGCTTCAATCTAATGGGTTTCAGGTCCGTTTGGAACCAAAGGGAAAGTACTACAACGCCTTCATCCAGGAAGTAGGAACGCACTCAGCAGCAGTTACTGTGTTCATCGAGGAGCTAGGAGAAAAGTAGGAATTAGTTGGTTATGAACCCAGACACCGGTTCCATATAATGCTTTTGGCTCCAGAATTTAAGTTCTTGGTTGTGGTAATTTTTTGCAGACACCTAGTTCCACTGACGGATCTCAAACCAGTAAACCCAGTTCCTGCGTGGAACGTGGCAGCTCCTGTTAGGAAGGGAGAGCTGGGTAAGCTTAAGGTTCTCAAAGTGTTTGGCTATTTTCTGACCGATCCCGGCCTGTTGACATCATCCTCTCTCTACTAGACCCGGAGTCTCGAGGTCAGCGACATCAACGCCATCGATACTTTAGAAAGTCTCGAGGCAGCAATGGCATGAAGGGGGCAGAGTTACTAATGCCACCACCGGTCTCTTATGGAGGCGCTGTCCCCTCCTCTCTGCCCCCCCGCTTCCAGCCCGCAGGTCATCCACGTCCACCTCTTCCTCCCTCACCAGGGGCTGTAACATTTGATCCCTATGCCCCCCCACACCACCACCCTCCAGGGGCAAGAGCCTCACGCTATGGAGTGTCAAGGTAAGTCTGATGTCGTCCAGCACACACTTCATTTCACCAAGGATGATCCTGCTGATTGCTTTACGTTTTTGTGCTTTTGTGTTTCTTCGGCCACCTGACTTGTTGGTTTGGGTTTGAAGTTCTGCACGTTTCCTGAACCGACAACTGATTGGTCCCCAGCTGTCATATTATCACCCATCCAGGAGATATTACCATGACTATGATAACTATGCCTTCAGGTCCCGGTAAACAGACACAACCAATCTTCAATGTTAATGTTCTCTTCCAGTTTGAATAGTTGTTTGATCTTGACCTGCTGATTGGAACAAGAACACATCTGTTCTGCAGAACAGATTGTTTAATGACTTCTAACGTTTATACAGTCGCAGTCGGCGCCACTTGGTGGCTGTCAATAAGGAATGCCAGTTTGGGTTTCCAGCTGAGGCAGTGGACGAATCGGCTGATATGGACCCCCCTGTTGCTTACTACCAGCTGGAAGATTCCAATGAAGGAGTCTTCCCTGCCTTGCCGGTGAGGAACCAGAAATAACTGACACTTCTAAACAGGTTGCTTTCCAGCCTAGAACCATCGATTGGTTGATGTCGAAGCTGCCGTGTTGGTTTTCTCTTGAAGACACAAAGTCCTCAACAGAACCAGCTTCCCCAAGAAAGGTGGTGATGGGGGAGTTCTTATGTAGTTGGGCAATAAAATAGTTTAGCAATCACCTTTGTCCATCACTCCACATGAGTGAAGCAGCAAGTCTCCTCCACTCCTGGATCCAGTGTTTTCCTTTGGGATCTGACGACCTGGGTCATAGAATTAGCCAAGACCTGAAGGTGGTCTTCTTCAGCTTGAAGTAAGTCTTGATAGTGGCCCAATTAAACATGTAGGGCAGAATGAGAAAATGATTTAAAATCTGTGTGATCGATAATCTACAAGACGCTGAGCCCACCTCCACATCGGATCTGACTGTCCACTTAGAGGTAATGCTGCAGGTGTGATGATATAATAAACATTTGGCCTCACTTTCTGCTAATGCATGTTTTTTTATTTAGACTTGGACAACCTAATTGTCATTATGTATACAAAGAGTGTATACAGAACCAAATTTAGTTTTGCACAGCTTTCAGAAAGTGAATTAGCGGCAGCTTAGCAGTGAAATTAACATTTCCATTTCATAAAGTGTAGCAATGATCAAATGTAAACGGAAGAAGAATATGGTGCAAAGGGCATTGATGTGGAAGTTCAGAGCAGTGCAAAAACAAATATATATGGTGCAAAAATGCAATAAAAAAAAAATTTTGAGTTGTTCTATTTATGTCAGTGTGATGCAGAGTCTTGATTTGTGACTTAAGTTTTTTTTGTTCTTTTTTTATTTTTTTTCCAGCAGTTCAGCAGTGGGGAAAAGCTGTTACTGGACCTGCAGTGGATGCCTCTTCTCAGAGGGCAGCAGGGAGAACAGTCCATGGTGGGGGTGTAAGGGGTCGCTGATGATGTTACGGGCTCTGTGCGCTGGGATTACATTTCTTTAATGGAGGGAAGAGGAGCCCTGATGATTCTCCCTGCTGTTCTCACTACTCTTCTCGAATTCTTCCGGTCTGCGTCACTGAGGCAGCTAGTGAGAATGCCCTCTATGGTGCTTCTGTAGAAGGTGGTGAGGATGGGCGAGGGCAGGTGGGCTCTCCTCATCCTCCGCAGGAAGAACAAGCACTTCTGTGCCCTTTTGACCTGTGAGGTGGTGTGAGTGAGGAGGTTTTCTGTGATGTGCACCCCCAGGGATTTGGTGCTGCTGACCAGCTCTACAGCTGAGCTGTTGATGAGCAGTGGAAACTTCACGATGTGATTGATGGTTAACCAGGGGACGCAGTCGTGTGTCATCAGAGTGAACAGGACTGTGCTCAGGACACAGCCGTGAGGGGGCCTGTGGTCAGGGTGATGACATGAGAGGTGTTTTGTCCAACCTAGACTGACTGAGGTCTGTTTGTGAGGAAGTCTAGCAGCCAATTGCAAAGGCGCATGTTAAAGCTGAGATGTTACAGTTTACCTATCAAATGCAGTGGGATGATGGTGTTGAAAGCTGAACTGAAGTCCAGGAACAGCATCTGCACGTGGGTGTTCTCTCCCAAGGGTGCCAGGCTGAGGTGAAGAGCAGAGGAGATGGCATCTTAAGTGCAGTGGTGTCGGGAGGCGAACTGGAATGGGTCAAATGCTAGGTGAGACTGGAGACAATGTGTTCTTTAACCATTTCAAAGCACTTGATCTCAATGGGAGTAGGTGCAAAAGGCCGGTGGTCATTAAATGAGGTGACGTGAGGCTTCTTTGGGACCGGAATGATCGAGGCAGACTTGAAGCTTGCTGGAACTATCGCTTGGTCCAGTGAGGTGTTAGAAATCTTTGTGAGGGCACCTGCCCGCTGACCTGCCTACTCCTTGGAACACCTGCCGGTATGTTATCGGGGCTGGGGCCTTTCTTGGGATGACTCTAAGATTTTTCCTCACATCAGCTGTGTCAAGGTAGAGTCTTGACCGGTGTTTAAGGAGTGTGGTCTTCTATCTATATACTTACGCTGGAATTTGTGTAATGTCCACACGCCTAACTCACCAATTCAAGATTTCCATCCCAGTCATACCCCTAAAGTTACATTCACCGTAAACACGGAAAATGTTCTTAGTGGTTTGTCTGGCGTTGGTTGCTTTGCGTTCTGCCTCCATCATATAATCTGCATGGACACCGCTGACACTGGCTTGAACTTTGGTCTATGGCTGAATGTGCTTCTAGCTGTATTTCCAGGACCTGCAATACTGCTATGAATTAGTCTTCATGGAGTTTTTGACTGGAAAAGCTTAGTCTCAGCTGTGCTCTTTAATCCTATGTTATATCCGCATGCTGTCCCTGATTGTTTAAGGGAGACAAATTGATAGTTTTTTCAACCTTGTTAAATTACACCATGCTCCATCAAAGTGTCCACAGGACCGATCCCTATGCAGTTTCTCATCAATCGCCCGATACATGCCATTCATATATCTTGAAACTCATCCTTAGCATTGCCAACGATTTAGTCGCATTGTCTATACAGAAAACATGGAAATTACTCGATCCATTACCTGCATCGATCTAATGCACCTTATGGCTGATTGTCACTGCAGTCTGATAGCACTTCCTACACCGCTCTTCAACCAGAACTGGCACCTTCCTGTTGTTGGCAGCCATATTACCTGCATCATTTGGTAGACACTTTGGAACCAAAAGTGGTAAACCTGACAGAAACCAGACGTTCTTAGAACCTGCTGAGTTTGACCTACTGTTTTTAATGGCTCTTAAACTCCTCGGTGTCCCCCCCTCTTCTCTGCAGGGCAATGCTGTAGCTCCTAACACCATTGGAGAGTCATCTCCTCCCATTGGCTCTTCCTATAGAGTTCAGAGGGCCTCAGGGGCCCTTCACCCGACATCCCCCCCAGGAAACACCCTTTTATGCTCCTCTGAGGAGGACCAGGAGGATGTGAGCACATTGGAGGACCAGAGTAAGTAACTTACTGAACTTGGAAAAGAAACAAAAGGGAGAAAAAATCCTTAATTGGAGCTGGATACAGATTGTGCTTAATGATATGTACTCTTATTTTGTCAGCTGAGTACACAGAGGAGTATGTATACGGCGCTCAGGGTAAGTACCACTAGAACACGGTCATTGTTCTGCTATGTTTCCTGCTAAAACCTGAAGTGACACTAAGTTGATCTCTTTTAGATCAGCGCTACCAAACGTCAAGTGTTTACACAGCTGCTGAGGCCTCCTCCACCCAGGTAACCAAGGTGACATCTGGCTTTTCATTCCTCATCATGTTACAGTTGGTCAGCAGGGGGCACTGTGGATCCAGCACCACTATGGTGAAGGCAAAACAAATCAAGCACAGCGTTCCCATGGATCCTTGAAACCCTGGAGAGTTTTTAAATTGAATTAACTTTAAGTCCTGAAGAGTTGTTTAAAATGGCCATAAAAACACCCAACTTCGAAAGTCCTTTATTTTGAGGTTTTCCATTTGGAGATCACTTGATGCCTTCGTGAGGTTATGAGAATAAACCTTTTTGCTAGCCTAGTAAACTAGCCCCACCCGCCAGCGGCAAAAATAATTTTTGCCTTCGAGTTGGTCTAGCCTCAATAAATGCCCGAAGCCCTAAATCTGGCGGACCAATCACAAAGCAGAAATGTGTTTTGAATGTCTGGATGCGGAGATGTCTAACCATCTCACCATCCCTCAAAATATCCAAGTATTATGAATATAAATGTATACTATATTATCAAGAATATAGGGTTTATATTGAATACCTCTTTTTAAATTCATCAGCTCAACCTTATTCCAGTTAGTTATTTTTTTTTATCAAATGTAGTGATACAAAAATCACCTGTTAGATGTGTTAGCAATCAATATACACGTGTTCTACTCTACATACAAAAACATCATTGGATTGTATTGTATCGTTTACACAAGTAATTAACATAAACAGCTGATCAGGTTAAAAATGTCTTGTAGACATGCCAGTCGAAAATGTCTGACGGAGCATCTAGTCGCTCAAATCAGAATGTCATGTGTACGTGATATTTTCCTCCCGTTTTAATGCAGAAAGAACAGGGATAGTCAATTGAAAGTTCAGCCTCAGCGCTCCGCACCGAACACGGTGTGATTAAAGACCACAAAGCATGTGAGAAACCAGGGTTCTGCTTGGGACCTTTATGTGTTACTAAATCCGTTTAGTAGACTCTTAAAAACGGTGCCAGGACTGGTTGTCCTTAACTGGAGCCAGCTTTTGGTCTTTGAAAAGGTTCTGCAGGCAGCTGAAGCTCATCCTAAATGCTGCTGTCAGAGTCCTGACCAATGCCAGAAAATTATAATCCTTTGTGGCATTTACTCTGTTCTGTAAAAAAAAGTTTATGATGTTAAGAACCTGTTGGTTCCTTTAAATCTGGACTGACAAAATGATAATTTACTGCACCTTTAGATCAGCAGAGCCTGACTGATTGTCGCTGAATCTGTTAATTCAGAGATTAGATTTAAATTTTAATGCAAGTTATTTAATATCTTATGTTTCATTTATCTTTTTTTTTTATGTGCAGTAAAACACTTTGGATACCTTTTTGTATGGAAAGTTCCATAAAATAATTAATCTTGTTCATAAACAAACATTTGTTTTCCTGAAGCTGACAGTCGTCAGCAAGGCTGTAAACATCCCTGATCGATAACGTAGAACTGAACTCAGTTCAATGTTATCAATATGGCTACTTCCAGGTTATGTCTTGGTAGCATTTCTTTAAAAAATTTATTTTATAAAACTTGCTTTTTTTAAATTTTATTATTAATTTATTTTTTTATTTTTTTACAAATGTTTTCCTTGGGTTAGTACTATATTAACTCCATATATGTCCAGGAATACCAGCGGGTGTTTGATGGCATGAATTTGTCTGTTCAAAGGATGACAAGGACAGGGGCTCAACAGACTCTCCAAGCAGGTCGGACATAGCCTACTGCTACCCGCCACAGGTAAATGCCCACTCTGTCCCCTGTTGGCTGCTTTGGGTACATCATTTTGCCTCGTTTGCAAGTTCAGGGATGGCATCTGTCATGTTAACTCTCAGGTTCCTGTCTGAGGAAACGTTTTATACTCCGTTTTCCAGAGGAACCTCCTTAGATGCGTTTGTTTCAGGTTGTGAAGCCGCTGCCGGTCATCTGTTCCTCTCCTTCCTCATCTTCCTCCTCCTCACCACCGTCGCCGTCTCGGGTCCCTGTTGCTCCTCACCTGCCACCAGCTGCCCACGCTCAGACACGCCAAGGTAGACTCAAGATCTGTGGAGAACAAGAACATCAGACGTAAACTCTGACCGGTTGTTTTGTCCTTAGTTTCCATGACGATCTCTGCTGCTGCTCCCTGGTTGGTCAACGAGTTGGGCGAGCCTGTCTGCTCTGTGGTGACTCAGCCATCTTACTCCTACGACCCAAACGGCAGTGATTTACCCCGAGGTTAGAGATCGCATGAGGCCAGTTTTCATCTGAAGTCATGCTGGTCAGTTTGAGATCTGATGTTTGTTTTCAGACTGCAGGGTTCTCCAGTACTACTACAACCTTGGAGTTCAGGTACCGCTGCACACTGAGCAAATGTTTGGGTAAGGATTGTCCAGTTTCAGCCTCACTCTGAATGTCGGCTTTCTTTCAGTGGTACCATCAGAGCTTTTGGCAACAGCAACAGCAGCAGGTGTATGCCCCCACCTCACCAGACCCGTCTTATCCCTACCAGCACTACCCCCCCTACCTGAGCCAAGAGCCCCCTCCCCATGGTGAGCTTCTAGAGGATGGGTTTACCTTAGAAGAAAGAAGGAACCATGTTTACTGATTGTTCTGATCCAAAGTGAAAAATCAGATGGTTTAAAATGATCCAGTAACAGCAGAAAAACTCCTGATTCTGATGGAGTGCTGAACCACTTGAATTAATACTGTTCTATAGATGGAAATTATTGCTCTATCTATAGATATTGTTCTGTAAATAAGTAAATATTGTCAATAATGCCACTGTTCAGTGAGGGGTGAATGAGAACACAATTTTTATTTAAAAGAAATGACTCAAGGAAGAGTGAAAAAGTATTTAGTAAAAAGCTACTCAAGTACTAAGTAGCGCTGACACCTGATTTAATGTTTTACAAAATTATGTAAAAATTACCAAAAGATTTTAATATTAAAATCCTGGTGTTTCAAAGAATGAGCATTTGAAATAAGCATATAAAATACAGTAATTGCACAATAAAAAAATTAGGTAGATAAAAATAAATGTGAGTTATAAAACATAAATCAATGGTTGGAGTACATGGGAATATGTTAATATGTATAAATAAATACTCTTTACTCAATTTCTACTCAACCTCCAAATGACACAGCAGACTGAGCAGATGGAAAATGGCATTTCACCGTTAAGCACAAATTAGCACAAGAAAAAATATCACTGTTGCATATTTGTTAAAAGCAATCTTTTTTCTTTAAGTAAATTTACCCACAATGTAGAAAGCAGCCTCAAGAAATAGAAGTGATTCTCTGTGACATCTTTCCTCAAGTAAAAGTAAAAACTACAGTGCTCTAAAACTACTCCTTAAAGTACTTTTTTTTTCAAAAAGTTACTGAAGTTAATTGAGTAAATGTAACTAGTTATTACCCACCTCTGTGTGTAACCAATCAAAAAGCATTTCCTGAGGTTGCAAACAATTGACCAGCTTGGCAAGTCGATCTTCTGCGCCCACTGTCTTTCTATTTATAGAACCTGTTCCGTCTCCATTGCTGCTTTCTCGTTTGCAACATTTATTTACTCTGATCTTTAATCTTGAAGTTTTATGCAATATCCATGACTGACCTCTAACTGTTCCTGAACGAGATCTGCTAATGTGGCTATACGGTACACACTTCTGGACCACACCTGTTTATATCTAAAGTTTTTTTATGCCCATGTGGGGAATCTTAGGTCTTAAAATCACCTGATTGACCAGAATTTTGAATAACTGAGCATCCTAGCAGCTCTTCCACCATCGCTTTGAAGACTCTTAACGACTTTCAGCCATTTTAAGTGTACACTGAGATCAGCAGGGCTAACACTAATTGTGCACCGCCATCAAGAGATCACATCAAAGATTAGCACTTTGGACAATGTAGAAGTTGATCTTCTGGAACTAGAAGCTTAAAGTTTTTTACTGTTGTAGAAGTTGAGACCTGATAATCCCTTCTTGTACATCTTATGCCCCCAGTTGTGCCCCCATCTTTCTCTGAGTCTGGCCGTGGAGCCCACCAACCCCCATCCTCCTACCCAGACTCCTCTAGGGCAGCAGACGGACCGCTGGAGGGTCATGGCAACGGTCAGTACCAACTACTCAACCTATCTGAACGCAATGTGGCCATTTCACTTGTGCTGAATTCAGAAAAGTAGAGACTCTTGATTTGGTTAGAGACAATGAAATAAGAATGATGAACCTGAAACACATTGGTCTCTCTCCTCAGGACCCGCCCCCTCAGTGGAAGGACCTTCCATGAACCAGGCCTCTCCAGGCTCCACACCTTCAGGACTCTACCCAGATCAGACGCTCCCTCCCCCTACACTGCTGCATATCCCTTTCGAAGCGCCGCCCCCTGCTGGCTACTTACCTGCAGCTCCTCATCCTCCCCTCCATCACCCTCCCCATCATCCCCCGTACCATCCTTGTCTTCCCACTTCAGCCCACTGGGGAACACTCCCGACATCAGGCCACGCCCCGCGGGTCTACTGCCCGGCCCCCAATCCTACTCATGTGGTTGGTTACATCACTGCGCCGCACACACCAACGCACTACATCCCCCCCACCATGTAAAGAGCTTGTGGCCAACAGCACCAGTTACAGTCAGTGAGGCCATGTCCTCATATTTTCTGCCCATGAGGCAATTTTCACAAAGTCCTGAAAATGTTATTTTGAAAAATATGTGCAGCGCTGACATGTTGGCATCAGATTCAAATGATGCCATGGTTAGCTGTTAGCATGCAGCTAAGCATTCCTGCTTATTAGATGTTTTCACTTGTTAAAAATAACTTGAATAAGATTTATATAAACGTTGCTAAAAGAATGCCAGTTATCCCAGGGCTAACTTTTAGCATGTTTTCTGTTTCAGGCACTTGTTCACCTCCAAAATGTCTGCCTCACTTCCTGTTTATAATGGTCACTCTTAGAAAATTGAGTTATAGTTGCAAGGTTGTTGGGTTTTGTTTCAAAGGAGAAGTTAATACTTTGTTCTGATCTTCAGCCAGTCAGAGTGTGGGAGGTGGGGCCAATGTAGGCTGTGGCTAGTCCCTTAACTTTATCAAGGGGTCTCTTTGTGTTTTCATCAAATTGGTGTCTAATTGTTTGGGTTAATAAAATTTGTTCCACCAGCAGATAATCTTTTTTTGAGTGGTTTCTGTGATCAGTTCTGGGACCTTATTACTAGAATTTATCCTGAAGTCGATTGAGCTGCTGGACGATGACTTCTGGGCCTTAATAATCTTAGGTCGGTCCCTGATATCAGGAAAGGGGTGGGCAGGTCTTTGAAACATAAAATGCAGGAATCCACATCTTTTTAACAATTTTCTAGCAATATATCTAAATGTAATATTAAACTGTAAATTTCTAAATTTTCAATGTTATTTGAAAGTCCTTTACAAAATGTTAATATTTTTGTGAAAATAGTCACATGTTAATCTAGTTTCAGTCAGGAAATCTTAGTTTTAGTCCCAATAACTGCTTTTAATTCATATTTAGTCAGAATTGAAAAAATTAAGCTTTTACAGGGTTTCCCAGGTCATTAAAAATCAAGTCATTAAATAATTATTTTTTTAATTAAGGCCTGAATTGGCATTATAATTCATTAAATGTCATTATTTTGGCATTTGAAATGCTTTATTTAAAAAAAAATAATTTTATAAAAACAATTTCTTATATGATATATATATATATATATGCAAATATATTGCAATATATTTGCGCAGAACTGCTTCCTGCTGATCGTCAAGCCGTATGTTCGGTAAAAGAAGCTCAAGGTGGAGAAAAAGCTGTAGAATGGGGGGGAAAATGCAAATTTCAACAAAAGTGGCTGGAAAGCGAGGGATTGCAGCCTGCTGACAGTAAAGATGAAGGAATTTGCTGTGTATACGGTATATGAGAGTCATCAGAGATGGGAAGTAATGAAGTACAAATACTTTGTTACTGTACTCAAGTAGATTTTTCTGATATTTTTACTTTACTACTTATTTTTATGGCGACTTTTTACTTCTACTCCTTACATTTTTACACAAATATCTGTACTTTCTACTCACATTTTTAAAAATTGGCTCGTTTAGTTTTGAATCATTTCAATGGAGTTACCGTTATAATTTTTCACGTCATCAATACCAAATTCAATCTAATTGGATGGGAATCTACAGGTGCTGGTCATAAAATTAGAATATCATGAAAAAGATTGATTTCAGTAATTCCATTTAAAAAGTGAAACTTGTATATTATATTCATACATTACATACAAACTCATATATTTCAGATGTTTATTTTGTTTAATTTTGATGATTACAAATGACAACAAATGAAAATCTCAAATTCATCATATCAGAAAATTAGAATATTACTGAAGACCAATAAAAACAAAGGATTTATAGAAATGTTGGCCAACTGAAAAGTATGAACATGAAAAGTATGAGCATGTACAGCACTCAGTATTTAGTTGGGCCTCCTTTGGCCTGTATTACTGCAGCAATGCGGCGTGGCATGGAGTCGATCAGTCTGTGGCACTGCTCAGGTGTTATGATAGCCCAGGTTGCTCTAATAGTGGCTTTTAGCTCTTCTGAATTGTTGGGTCTGGTGTATTGCATCTTCTTCTTCACAATACCCCATAGATTTTCTATGGGGTTAAGGTCAGGAGAGTTTGCTGGCCAATTAAGAACAGGGATACCATGGTCCTTCAACCAGGTACTGGTAGCTTTGGCACTGTGTGCAGGTGCCAAGTCCTGTTGGAAAATGAAATCTGCATCTCCAAAAAGTTGGTCAGCTGCAGGAAGCATGAAGTGCTCTAAAACTTCCTGGTATGTGGCTGCGTTGACCCTGGACCTCAGAAAACACAATGGACCAACACCAGCAGATGACATGGCACCCCAAACCATCACTGACTGTGGAAACTTTACACTGGACTTCAAGCAACGTGGATGAAGTGCCTCTCTTCTTTTCCTCCAGACTCTGGGACCTTGATTTCCAAAGGAAATGCAAAATTTACTTTCATCAGAGAACATGACTTTGGACCACTCACCAGCAGTCCAGTCCTGTTTCTCTTTAGCCCAGGCAAGACGCTTCTGACGCTGTCTGTGGTTCAAGAGTGGCTTGACACAAGGAATGCGACAGCAGAAACCCATGTCTTTCATACGTCTGTGTGTGGTGGTTCTTGAAGCACTCACTCCAGCTGCAGTCCACTCTTTGTGAATCTCCCCCACATTTTTGAAGGGGTTTTGTTTCACAATCCTCTCCAGGGTGCGGTTATCTCTCTTGCTTGTACACTTTTTTCGACCACATCTTTTCCTTCCCTTCGCCTCTCTATTAATGTGCTTGGACACTGAGCTCTGTGAACAGCCAGCCTCTTTAGCGATGACCTTTTGTGTCTTGCCCTCCTTGTGCAAGGTGTCGATGGTCGTCTTTTGGACAACTGTCAAGTCAGCAGTCTTCCCCATGATTGTGTAGCCTATAGAACTAGACTGGAAGACCATTTAAAGGCTTTTGCAGGTGGTTTGAGTTAATTAGCTGATTAGAGTGTGGCACCAGGGGCCATCAATTTTGAACCTTTTCACAATATTCTAATTTTCTGATATGATGAATTTGAGATTTTCATTTGTTGTCATTTGTAATCATCAAAATTAAACAAAATAAACATCTGAAATATATGAGTTTGTATGTAATGTATGAATATAATATACAAGTTTCACTTTTTAAATGGAATTACTGAAATCAATCTACTTTTTCATGATATTCTAATTTTATGACCAGCACCTGTATGTTGCATTTGAAGCACCACTACAAGATGAATCGACAGATTCGGCGGTATTCATTCGCGGCAAATCATTGCAGCTTGGTGGCGGTGGCGTTAGCATAGTAGTATGGACAACGAGATGATTGAAAATGAACACAACGGAGATCTAGTCCTATTGGCAGACATCCATTTAAAATGTAGGCAACGGCATGAAAAAAGTGGTTTCTACTTTTATACTTTAAGTAAATTTACAAGCCTGTACTTTGTAACTTTTACTTGAGTAAAGAAGTTTAATCAGCACTTCCACTTTTACCAGAGTATTTTTTAACACAAGTATCTGTACTTTTACTCAAGTACGGAAAGTGAGTACTTTTGACATCTCTGAGAGTCATGGATACTTGTTGCATTAAAAAGCATTAAATTAGAGTTGCTCATTCCTTTATAAACCCTGTTTTACAACAAGACATGGTGGTCCATTATATCAACCAATTTTTTAGCCTTTCAGTAAACACCAGTGTTGTGATATTTGCCTGGTAACGGGTGTAAACTAAGTACAGAAAGCTCTGATCTGGGCCAGGTTTTTATATGCTTACTCTTTATATAAATTGAACCGGAGCTGCACAAAACATGATGTAGCAAAGATTGGGGGGAGGACTGCCTGACGACTCTAATGGCAAAAATGGGCAGGACTATGAAGATTGATCGGGGAACAGTTGGGGCATGATGGGAGCTGTTCTGTTTGAAAGATGAGGTCCAACTTAGCCAGGTTTATAGACTAAGCTAGTTTTATGAAACATCCCTCTGGTTATTGCAGAAAAGTCCAAACCCTGACCTACCAGGAGAGGGTGTAGAGGTTGGTTCAGTGGCAGCTATAATTTTTAAATAGACATACAAAAAAAAACAAATGTATACTAAGTTATCACAGCAGGACATTTTTATGAATGGAAAAAACAAAACATACACTTTATAAAAAAAAAAAAAAAAAAAACTATTTCATGTACAGGTTTACTTTTTACACATAATTTTGCCCTTCTGGGGCTTTGTGAACGCAAATTTGTGTTTTGCATGGTCCAGTGTGGTGTCACAAACCTAATATAATAATGTACCAGCTGTTAGTCAGCCTTATATTTTGAGAATTTGTTTAAGAGCATCTACACAAATTACCAAACTAGAAAAGGTACACTTATTTTCCATGTGAATGCCAGATTGTTCATTCTTTGTCTTTTCTAAAAGGTGCTTTAAATCAGTCCTACCTGTCTTTATCTATCCTGGGTCAGATCCTGATGGTTTGAAAAAGATGACAGGCAGTCAAGGCAGCAGAATAAAGCGTTAGCCTTGCTGCATGCAGTTAGCCAAGCCTTGTAGCTAAAGATGGTGTATTGTCTTAAACTGTTTTTGGACTGCTGATTAATTTTGACGTTCGGCTGATCAGGTCCGAGCAATTTCACTTCCAGCTTCTCTTGGTAAGTTTGATTTAAGGGATTTCACTTCCACGACTGGACCTGTCAATCACCCGCCCTACGAATGTGAGGACAGTTCCTTCTAGCTCGGGCTGCAGCTCTCCTGCGCCCCCAGCCGTCTCATACTTCTGTATTGCAAAGGAGCCACTGTGCATGTACAACTTTTAATGAGAGTCTATGGCCAAAGATTTCTGCGACCTAGTTTGGAAATACGTCACCAATCTATCGAAAAACGAAACAGCTTTACTTGCAATTAAAGATTAAACATTAGTCTTGCACATCTAAAAATATTCATCAATACATTTCGAAATATTTTAACTTTAACATTTTTTTTATGTCTTAAGTTTGGGTGGGTGGGTCGGCTCCGTAGCGCCCTCTATTGGCCAGCTGCCACTAACCTTGCCTCTAATCTGGAGCGTCAAACTAGTCCTTGAAGGACATGTCAAGCAGCGTTCTTATGTGTAGAAATGATTCCAGTGTCCTCAACTACAATTTATTACAACCAGTTGACTATTTACATTTCTTAGAAAATAGAAGTTGTATACAA